TATGAGTGAGTATTGAATTTTTCAAATGCTTTTCCCAATTTCTCTTTTTTTTTTAATTTAAAAAATTTTTTGTTTTGTTTTGTTTTTTGAGACAGGGTCTCGCTATGTAGTTTAGGGTGGCCTTGAACTTGTAGTGATCCTCCTGCCCCTGCCACCTGAGTGCTGGGATTACAGGCATGCGCCACCACACTGGGCTCCAATTTCTCTTAATGTATCAATGTGGAGAATTATACCATTTGGTTGCTGAATACTGAATCAGAATTGAGTCCCTAGAATAGGCCTCACCTGGTCATGGTACATGATTCTTTTCACATATTACTGAATTTTAGTACCCATATTCATGTAGAATTGGTCTGAAATCTTGTTCTTTCTTTGCCTAGTTTGGGTATTAGGTTAATAATGGCTGCATAAAAGTGTTGGAAGGGGTTCTCTCATATTTTCTGAAACAGACTATCTAAGAATGATGTTAATTCTTCTTTAAACATTGGTAGAATTGTCTACTGAAACCATCTAGGCCTGTAGATTTCTTTTTTAGTAGGTTTAAAATTATGAATTGAATTTGCTTAATACTCCAATCATGTGTTTCATACAGAATGAGTTGTAGTGGTTTCTACTTTTTAAGGATTGGCTCATTTCATCTCAGTTATCAAATTTATGTGCATAGAGTTGTTCATAGTGTTCTCATATTATCCTTTTGATGCCTGCAAGATTGGCAGTGATATTCCGTTTTCTTCCTTATATTAATAAGTTTTCTTTTTCTTTTGTCTCTGTTCATCTTGGTAGTGATCTGGCCAATTTTATTAATCCTTTTAAAGAACTGGGTTGTATTTCATTGATTTTCTTCACTGTTTTAAAATTTCATTACTGTTCCACTCTTATTTTTGGTATTCCTTTTCTTCTGTTTGCTTTGGGTTTATTTTGCTCTTCTAATTTTTTTTCTTGATTGGAATTTACTGATTTGAGACCTTTTTGTCTTTTCTAATGTACACATTTAGTTCTATGAATTTCCCTCTTGTCACAGCTTTATTTGCATCCCATGTGTTTTGATATGTTGTATTTTAGTTTTCATTCAGTTTAATATAGTACTTTCTCCTGAAACTTTCTCTTTGATCCACGGATTACTTAAAAGTACATGATTTGTTTCCAAGTGCTTGGAGATTTTCCTATTATCTTTTTGTTATTGATTTTCATTTTTGAGCCCACTAACATTAAGGAATACATTCTGTATGATTTTAATTACTTTAAATTTGTTTCAAGGCCTAGGATATAGTATATGTGAATATGTTCTGTGGATATTGACAGGAATCTATGTTCTAATGCTACTGGGTAGAGTGTTTTATAAACGTCAGTTAAATCCTGCTGGTTGACAGTGCTTGTGAGCTCTTCTGCACTCTCAGTGATTTTCTGTTTAGCTGTTCTATCAGTTGTTGAGACAGGGTGTCAGAGTCTCCAAGGTTGTAGATGTATCTAGCTCTCCTTTCAGTTATGTTGGCTTTTGTTTCACGAATTTGTCAGCTCTGTTGTTTGATGCATGCACATTTAAGACTGCTATGCTTTCTTGGTGGATCAAGTCCTTTATAATTATATGACAACCTTCCCTATCCATGTTAGTTTTTGCTCTAAAATTTACTCTATCTGATATTAATAAAGCCACTCCTGCTTTCTTTTGAGTAGTTTTGAAGGGTGTATCTTTTTCCATGTATTTACTTTTAACCTACATATACCATTGTATCTAAAGTGAGTTTCTTACAGAAGTATACAGTTGCTTGTACTTTTTTATGCACTCTGTCAAATTCTGTCTTTAAAATCATGCATTTGGACAATTTATGTTTAATATAATTATTTAGATACTAAGGCTTATGTCTGCCATGTTATTTTGTTCTCTGTTTGCTTTCTTTCAATTTTTAATTTTCTTTTCTCTGCCTTCTTGTGAGGTACTTATACATGTTTTGAATTCCATTTTGATCGATCTACAGTGTTTTTGAGTATATCTCTTTACACTGTTTTTAAGTGGCCACTGTAGGTATACATAACTTATACATAACTTATAGAAATCTACTGTTTTCAGCATTTTATCAGTTTGAGAAAAATCTGTTTTCAGCATTTTCTCTCTTGGTATCACTTTACTCCCCTCCATTTATAAAATAATTGTCTTGTCATAAAAATTTTTCTTCTCTCTATATTAAGAGCCACATTAGTCACTATTATAGTTTTTGTTTCAATTGTCAAACATAGAGAATTAAACATTAGAAGAAAAATGGACTCATATTTTTATTCTTACCATGTTCATTTTCTGTTTCAAAATTCCTTCTTTTGTCTCATTTTCTCTCTGTTTAGAAAACTTTAAAAAAGATATTCCTTTAGGAAAGGGCTTTTGAAAATCTGTTCTTAGTTTTCCATCATTCCAGAATGTCTATTTTCTCTTCATTCCTGAAAGATATTTTCTCTGGATATGGAATTCTGGGTTGACAATTTTTTTTCTTTCACCACTTTAAAAACCATTGTGCCATTTCCTTCTGGTCTTCATGGCTTCTTATGAGATGTTTACTGTTCAACAATTTCATTATTTTCCCCATAAAGGCAATTATTTCTCTCTGGTTGCTTTTAAGATTTGTTTTGTTTGATCTTTTGTTTTCATTAAGTTTGACTATTATATGTTTGGAATGTATTTTTCTGGCTCCTGGTATGAATTTTTTTTATTAGAATTTGGAAATTTGGGACAATATATTTTAAGACTCTGGATTTTAGTTAAGTCTTGTGTTCAGACAACTAACTCTGCTCTGGCATATAAAAGTATGGTGCCACATCATTACTGCCTGGTGGAGTGGACATCAGAGACTCCAGTCAGGATCAGTTGACATTGTGGTGGGAGGACTTCTGGGCATTACTGGACAGGGGTGAGATACAAGGTTCATCATCAGGCTTGCTACAATTCCTCGCTAGCCATAGGAGGTGTGTCTCACTGCTGCCAGTGTGCCAGGTGAGGATACAGTCCACTGGGGTCTACTAGGGATGTGGATGTGGATTCATTACCACCTGCTGGGGATTTATGTCCCAGTTCCCCTCATCTTCCCAGACATGCTGGAGGAAGAAAGACTAGGGCAAAGGTAGAAGTCTAGGATCTCTACTTGGCCTTTGCTGGTAAGGGTTTGGACTGGGGCTGCAAATATTTCTGTATGGTTTGCTGAAGTAGGGTGGTAATTGCCTATAAATTTTCTATCTTGCCAAACTTCCCCTTGCCAGGTCCTTTGTCTCAAGACAGCAGGCCTTCCTTGGGGCCTTTATTCCTTTGTCAGTTGGTATTTCTAGGTTACCAGCTTCTTCAACATCTAGTCTGGGATATATGAGGTAACCCTTACCCCAAGTATATTTATTACTGTGTTTTTCTTGAGTTCTGAGATTACTAGCTGGTCTTTCTTCTTCTCTCCACTTTCCAGAAGCTCTTTATAAAAAAAACAGGGACTGAACCCTGGGCCTTTGCACTAACAGGGATCTTCCCCCATATTTTTTTTTGAGACAGGGTCTCCCTAAATTGCTAAGTTCCCCAGGCTGGGCTTCCAACTGTGATCCTCCTTCCTCAGCTTCCCAGAGTGATGGGATTACAGGTGTGCACCACCATGTCTGGCTACCTACCAGAGTCTTATGCTTGCTTTATATGTAATATCCAGGACTTTTAAGTGCACTCTGCAAGAAGAAAAAGGAAAAGTATACCTAGTCCATCTTCCTTCCATCTACTGGAAGCCCAAGCCCTTCACTTATTTATTAAAATTACATTGGTGTTTTTTTCAAAATAGCAGCTAGAAATGATTTTTCTCTTTTGGAGTGTCCCATAGCCTGCACACACTGAAGTGTATGTAGCTGTCACCTCCTGTAGATGTAATAGGCCGTCTGATATAGAAGGTATTCTTTTGCCATATATGCGATGAATTAATAATCAGAGGGACCCCAAATGCCCTCCCATCGATGACTTTTAAGCACATTATGCTCCAATTTCTAAATGTCTGAGAACAGACTAGAAGTCTAAGAATGGAATTATTTCTTTTATTAGAAGAGATATATTAAGCTTATGCTAATCAAAGTATTGCAAATAAAACCTCAGTAAAGTTTCCATGATAACATCTAATTCTTATCCCTCACAAGGGCAAGAACACAGTATTGACCCTCTTGAATTGTGGGAGGGAGGTTTATTTGTACAGATATTTTGGAGAACAGTTTCACATGTGTTCCAAATCTTTTAAAATGCTTGTATCCATTCTCCATTCCTGTAAATCTATGCTAAAAAAAATCCTTGCAATAAGAAAAGAATTAGGCAAAAATATTCAACAGCATTATTTATATTAGTAAGAAATTAGAAATAACCTGAATATCCAACCAAGAGGAAAAAATGAAATTTAAATTAGTCTCTCTATTAGATAAATATCACATAGCTATTGAAGGTGATCTTTATAAGGAATTCAGAGTCATACAGAAAATTCTTGATATATTAGGTGAGAAGTATATGAAAAGCTATATATATGGTGTGACTGTATCACACTCAATTAGAAACAACATCCATGTATACTAGATCAGAGGAGTGGAAAAAAGAAACGAAAACTGTTAAGTGCGATTGCTTAGGTATTATTAAGAATATGGCTACTTTCCCCCCTACGTTTACATATTTGCTAAATTTTCTTTTTTGAGCATGTGCTATTTTTAAAAAGGGAAACACTGTAAAAGCACTGCTGGGTTGAACCTGCAGATGGCACTGGGTGCTTTACATTCCAGTGGCCCCACTCTGGTCCCTCCCAAGTCTGATATGGAATGGTGTCGAGGGGCCTGCTTCCGTGATAACACTGTGAAGAAATGGACCCGAAAGGGGTGGCACTCACACCTTTATATGCAGAAGGGGTTATTTCTAGAATACAGCAAAACATCCCCACTAAGCTTTTGCCGATAATCTGAGCAGTAACCCTCATCCAACCCAGGACCGGTGGTGGCCCCCGGGCCAGCATCCACTCTACCTTTTCCAGCTGGGATGTGCTGTCCTCACAGGCCTGCCTGAGCAGGTCTCGAGCCCTGCTGAGGTCTCCCTGTTTGTATGCGGTGTAAATGCCCTCCATCCTGGGGGACCGAGGTGCTGTGGAGTCCCCACCTGGCGTGGACAGCTTGCTGCCCATGTCCCTGGCACCTGCATGGGAAGAAGCACACACACAGTGTCACCATCACAGCCAGTGTGGCATGGGAATCATCAGATATGACAGCACAGGGATGCACTGTCCATGACAATTCTGGGTGCTGTAGGAACAGAAAGAATGGCCTTGAAATGCTGCCATCACCAAGCTCCCAGTGCCCAGGGACCTGCAGCCCTGTGGGAAGAAACTTCCTGGGGCTGGTGCTAAAGCCAGGATATCTGCAAAGGCAGCAGGCAGTTGCGAACAGCTCAGATGGGTTCTGCAGCAAAACAGCTGCCACGTGGAGCTGTGCCAAGGTGTGAGAGCAGCTGTCTGGTGGGAAGCCACTGGCCTGACTTCACAGAGGAGGTTGGAGGAGCTGGGGCTTCAGGGGAGAGCAGATGGCCCCACTAAACAGCCCAATTGCTATGTCCCTTGGAGGGTAGAGTATCCTTGAAGAAATGGAAATCCATACACTTTCCCTGCATAGAAAACCCCACAAAAGGCACAGGATTTAGGATCCGCAGCCCTCACTCTACCCCTGTCCCTGTATAGACATGCCACACTAAAATGTTGCGCAATGCCTGGCATTCTGGGTCCTGTGCATGCTTGGACCCCAGGTGTGACTGGCCCAGGCCTCAGTTCCCTCAGATGCCTCCTGGCTCTGCCCTTCTGGTTCTCTGAACTGTGGCTTGGCTGTGGATGCAGTCCTGTTCTCTAACAGTGGACACTTGCCTGTACTAGGTGGAAAAGGTGTGGGGCTTCTCTGGGTCAAACAAGTGCCTGGTGTTTCTTGGGGAGGAGAGGGAAGTGTCGTAGAAGGCTGAAGCACTGTCAGGCCATTCTATAAAGCCACAGCCCTGCTGGGCCATTCATTCTGTAAATGCACTCACTGAGTAGCTGGACATAGCCGATCACTGCACTGGGTACTGAATAAACACAGGTAAAGGAGATCTGTTCCCATCCAAATCTCTCCAGAATAGAGGTTCATAATTAGGAATCTGTGGGCATCAAAGGCTGACAAAGGGGCTTCAGAAGCTCCCCGAACATCCTAGAATTGTACAAAACTAATTTATGTGTGTGTGTGCTTACAGATTTCTCTCTCTGGGGAGAAAATTCAAGGGTCCTGCCAGACACCCAAAAGGGTTAGTAAACCAGAGTTACAAGCTTTACATATCTCGGTATTATAGAAATGACTGTCATAAATGAGGAGTTAAATTCTGATTGTGTTGAGCGACAGCAGAAATAGGAAGAGAATTCCATCATTCCTAGCCAAGTTCACACAGCCAGTACGAGGCAAACTGGGACTGATGATAGCTCTCCCAGCTCTCAGGGTGGGGATGATCTGCCTTTCTTACTGCTACCTCTGTGAAGGAACAGGCTTTTGAGTATTTTTTAAGTGTAAATGCTGAGTGAGGTTGGCTTCCAAACGTACACATCACAAAAATGAATCATGCAATAGTAGCTAACATTAAAATACTAATTTATTTATAATAGCATAAAATTACACTCCCAGAAATAAATTTAACAAAAGATAGGCAGGATTTGTACACTAAAAATCTGTAAAATTCTGCTGAGAAAAATTAAGCAGGACTATATAATGGGAAGACATCCCATGTTCATGGATGAGAAGAATCAGTACTGTTAAGATGTCATTTCTCTCTGATTTTATCAATAGATTCAATTTAATTTCAACTATAATTCTATAGTATGCTTTTCAGGTGGGCAGAAGTCAACAATGTGATTCTTAAATTTATACAGAAATTTGAAGAATCTCAATTATCCAAAGCAATCTTCAAAAAGAGTTAGAGAACTTATACTACCTGATTTCAAGACTTTCTGTAAAGCTATGGTAACTGAGACAGTGTGGTATTAGTACAGAAAAACACTCCCATTGGACAGGATAAAAAGTTGAGAAATGACTTGTACTTATATATCTTACTGATTTTTGACAAGGGTGCCAAAGGAATGCAATGGGAAAACCAAAATCTCTTCAACAAATAGTGTTGGTATATTGGACATCCTCAATGAATTTAAAAAAAGTTACTGTGCCCTACTTCTCAGCATACACAAAATTCATTTGAGATGGATCATGGACCTAAATATAAAGGCTAAAAGAATAAAGCTCTAGAAAAGCACACAGGTGACTACCTTCATAATCTGAAAGGAAGCAAAGGTTCCTTAGATGAGTGTGGTTTGTGTCTCCCAAGGGTCCACTGTGATGAAAGCCCTGGTCCCCAGGGTGGGGCTACTGGAAAAGGTGGTGGAATCTTTAGGGGTGGGGCCTTCAAGGTCCTCAGGTTACCAAGAGTCCGAGGCAGCTTCTTCTGTGATCCTTGGTAGTTCTCATATAAGGGTTGCTGTTGAAGGAGTAATCCTGCCACCTCCCTTCCCCTCTTGGCTCTTGCCTCTTTTGCCTGCTACATGTGCCCCAGCATTGCCATTCATCATGAGGTCCTCATCAGAACTGAGTAGAGGCAGATGCCATACCCTTGGGCCACCAAAGCTGAGAGCTAAATAAACTTCTTTTTCTTTATAACTATCCTCTGTCGGGTATTTTGTTATAGTGACAAAAAGTAGACTAGTACAAGGGACCATAGAAAATCCATGAAAGGGAAAATACTAATTAAACTTCATCAAAATTTAAAACACTCATTAAAAAAACCTACTTATTGATGAACAGGCAAATTATAGGCTGGAATAAAAATTTGTAAAACATATCTGAAAAGGTATGGTACTTAGAATAATAAAAAGCCCTATAACTCAATAATAAAAAGACAACTCCAGTTAGAAATGGGCCAAGATTTGAACAGTGGAAGATATTCAAAGAGCTTAATATCATTAGTCATCAAGGAAATTCAAATTAAAACCACAATTAGACACCATGTCCAACAGAACAATTCAAGTGTTTTTTCTTTTTTTTGGTACCAGGGATCGAACTTGGGTCCTTGCGCTTGCGCAGCAGGTGTCAAAACCACTGAGCTAAATCCCCGGCCCTCAAGTGTTTTTTAAAAGACTGACAATACTTAGTGAAGATATGGAGCAACCACAATGCTTGTAGTTTATTGGTTAAAGAGTAAAATGCCATAACTTTGGAAAGCACTCTGCTGGTTTCTTATAAAACTAAACATATACTGATCCTATGATTCACAGTTCCAACCTTAGATACTTACCCAAGACAAACATGTCCAAAAGAGTTACCTAAGAGTGTTCACATAGTCGTTTTGGTTACAATATGTCCAAGCTATAAAAAGGCCCATTGTCCACCCATAGGAGAATGCATTGAACAAAATGTGGTCCCATGACTACTCAACAATAAGGAGCGATGAAATATTGATCCATAAAATGACTGATATGTATCTCAAAAACATCATGCTGAGTGAACGAAACCTTGCACGAAATGATGCCATTTATATGCTGTTCTAAATTGTGTTTAAAAAAACCCCCAACATCAGCAGGATGTTACTTGGGGACAGGGCAGGCAGTGAAGTTGATCAGAGAAAAGGCATTGATCGGGTCGATATCTTGTTGGGGTTTGCATTACACAGGTGCTGTACTTGACAAAACTTATCAAAAGTCCACTTAAGATCTGTGCATTTTCACTTGATATACCCTTTAAGTAAAAAGCAACTATAAACAATATCAAGCCTTAGTCAATAATACGCATGCTGAAGTGTTTAAGGGGGAAGGATCCAGATATTTACAGCATAGGTTGAAATGCACTAAAAATGGAATGGAAAGAAATGTGAGAGGGCAATTTTAGACCATGTTTATGGTATACTTTAGGTGATGGGCATAGGGGTGTACATTGGATCAATTCTTTACAAGTTGAAAATTTTCACGATAACATGTTGGGAGAAAAGGTGAGTCATAATAGTAAACCCTACATGCAGGGCCCACCATAAGACATACAAAGTGCGTTCCACCACCAACAGAGAAAACCCCTGTTGTGTAGGAAGGCAGAGTCACACTGCATACAGAGAAAAGGGCCTTAAAATCATCCAGGGCTTTTATTACTCATCCTAAGCCACGATATGCACCATTTCCAGGAGAACTGTTCTGAAAATCCTTGAAAATGGATCATCACACACAACTGGCACCATTCCTGAAATGCCAATGTAGGATTGTGCAGTGTAAGTGAAGATTACTGGGTTTGGGGTTTTTTCAGGGGGAGTGATGAGTATTTTTGGAAAGAGGAATCAGGATAAGACTCCGTGTATAAGTGCTTATACATGTGAGTAAGGCAGCATCGCTTCCCAATACACACTGACAGACCCCATTAATTATTTACAGCCAGAGACCCTGAGACATCTAAGAGCAGGCCAGAGGGAGAAAGGCCATTAGCAGGGGCGAGAAGAGAGTGGAATCAAGGCAATGTCCTCCACCAGAAGGAGGCACTTAATTATGTCAGAGCTCATCTTTCAGAATTAAATAAATATTCTCCTTATCTAGTAAAAGGCAAGTGGGTGTGGGCGCACATGTGCGAGAGCAGGTAGGAAGTAATCTCTCTTCCTCGTGTTAGGTACATAACTACAAATAGTTATACCTTTAAGTCCCAGTAAAGGGATGCCGTGAAGGTGGAACTTAGGTTACATGTAGGTTACACGGCACATGTGAAATTACAAGGGTGAATTTACTTTAATATGATGTTTACAGATGCCTATGTATGTGGAGTAAATAGTAAGAATCCAGAACCCACTCAAATCTCTTCACATTGTTCAGTGTTGTGGTTTTCAGTTTTGAATCTGATTTTCTTAAGTTGCATGGGCAACAAACATTCACCGTCACTGACCCTGTGAGCTAGAGCTCTAGTCTGATCGAATTGTTGAAAGAACACGATGGGAAAACATCCCTGAATGCACTTAATTTAATCTTCCAACTTCACTTAATTTCCAGAAATGATAAACAGAATGGTTAACACTTATTTAGGCTGAAAGGAAAAACCAACCTGCTCATAATCAGCAGTAAGGACAGGCTGGGGAGAATCAGAGAGAGAATTAGAAAAGACTTCACTTTC